CTACTATTCATGAAGATTTCTTTCCTTACCTCCCAATTCAAGGTTTGCCACTCTGTTTAATGATATATTATTTTCTTATTTCTGCAAATTTCTCTTTGCTGAGCAGAAATTTTTGAGTCCTTTTATGCGTATCACTCAAACACTCCAATCTATTGTGTCCATTTATTGATCTTTCACTTGAACTAGTCTCAGGAGAACAGAAAGTCCTCAAAGAACGTGGATATGTGCAGTGTACATTGGCAAAATTATAAACAGGAAAAGGTTTCTGTGGGATATATTTTTTTTAATGAGAACACATTGTTATACTCTGAGTATGTGGCATTCTTGCTTAATAGAAATATTTACAAGAACACATACACATTTAAATCCAAACACCAAATGAAGTAGATATTTCAAATGATCAGTTTGCACCAGAAATAAAATATATTATACAAAACAGGGGTTATATCCACAGTCATTGATTCTCATTTTCTACACAAAACAACAATAAATTAAATCACATTATATGCAGATAGTTCTACTTACATTAGAATAAGAAACTGTACGGAGCCTGTGCAACTTTTACTTTTATTTTTCAACCAGACTCAGGGTAGGTTTATATTGATTGGTAGACCTATTTTTAAGTTAACAATGAATAATATGACAAGGGCTGCAGAATGTCCCCTCCACAGTTCCATCCCTTGTCCTGTTGGTTTCAATGATCCACAAAGCACAGGGAATGAAGCGCTGCGTCCCGGGACCCATCACAAAGGTGTGTACATTCACAGCATCCATAGGCTGTTGAAGGGCACCTCGTGACTGTTTCATAAGTAAGGCATACCACATTAAATATTTTCAGATCTTGGCATTGAATAATAAAGAGGGCACCTTGTTTCAAAATCCACATTTTCATCTTTGGCAGCCTTTTCTGTCCAGTTTTTATGTGCTACAACAACTTTGTTCCCCTAGCAAATAAAAAATAATTTGGTAACCTAATCCTTTGTGATTTTACACTTTGTAGTGGGCCCTTTATTCCTTGTGCATAGAAATCTAGGTTTCTCAATGCAGCATTTTTTGCTCTTAATTCTACTTGTTCAAATCTCTCCCCTAGGAATCATCCCACACCCAGTATATCAAAGAGCTATTATAACATGTGGATTTTTATTTCTGAGACTTGGTTCTCACTGAAACCCTTTCATTGTGTTTGAAGTAGCTTACACATGAACATTAACAGCATCAACTGGCTTAGAATGCTTTGCCTTTGGTATGAATTAACATTAGTGGTTAATGAGAAATTTGAACAAACTCCAATCCAGCACCTTTGGAAGTTATTTTAATTCTGCAGTCTAGCTGTCAGGTATGCCTGCAAGAGACATTTGTGAAATTCACACACTGAAAACCAAAGCCAGCCCTGTTGGAGTATCAGCACATCACAGGCTTGAACTGCCCTGAGAGCATGTGTGGTCAATCAGTACAAGGGTTCGTTCAGATTAGAAACCAGCTGCATTCTTACAGCCAGCACTATTTTGTCTTTTCCCCTCCAAGGAAGTATGAAGGCCATGTCACAAGTTTCTGCCTTCGTGGGCAAGATGCTCATTCATCTTTGCAGCCATGCTGGATGGTGGGTGACTGATGGAGCAAGGGGAAGGGGGTCAAGACAACACCTTCAAAGCTACACTTCCCTTTTTCTTTTAGAGGACCAAGTTCCTGATTCTTTTTGCTTGGCATGTCCCAAGCTTTTTGCTGAGTCTGAGGGTCTAGATTACCCTCCTAAAGGTCAACTGAAAAGGAAATCGGTCCCTCTGAACACCACCATCTCATTCTCCCTGCTTCCACATTGTCCCTACAACATCTCTTGTGTTTCTAGACAGTTTCCGTTTCTTCCACTGTGCAAGAAGTTCAGCTCACTATCTGCTTTGTTGTGAAGTCCTGAACCATAGGATCTAACTAAACAAAACACATGAGTCATAGATTAAGGTGCCTAAGTGAGGTTGGCATTTGCCTTTATGACTGCATCCACTCAGGACTGAGTTCTTTGTGTCCCAAGAAATATAAGTACTTGTTCCTCCCTATTTATAAGCACTTCCTTCAAACCAGTAGCATACTATTCTATTAGGTCTCCTAAAGAAACTTCCACAAATAGCCAGTGAATTCTCGGTTACAAGAAGGTGGAGATGCCACTGGAACCTACTTTAAGTCAATCTCAGTCACTGTCTGTATGAGGTCTATGCAATGACCTTATCTTCACCACCAATTGCAAATCTTATGTCCCCTAAAATCAGCCACAATCAGAAGAAAAGTGCTAGGTTAGGGGTGAAGAAGTTAGGGGAAAGACTGTGCCTTGAGTAAGTTAATGATCTTAGAAGCCTATGAAAAGAGGGAAGCGATTCAGCATCCTGGAGCAAAGGTCTTTGAAATTAGGGCAGAGGATATGTGTTTATCCCCTTCCTCCATTAAATATAGCTTCTGAAATGTAGAGGACTATTTTAAGATCTGTAGAACCATGTCTACACTTCAGGAAAAGATATGTCAATGGCTCTATGTTTATAGGGACTCCTCAAAAAATAAACAAAACAAAACAAAACAAAACTAGGTCAGTCTTGGGGGAGATATGGATTCCGTATAGAAAGTTCTTCCCAGCTAGATGTGATCATCTGAGGAAAGCTTTTAGTTCTGAGTCTTCCACCAAAACAATCTAAGACAATAATGACCATAAATCTTACATCTATTTCCAATACCAAAAAGAATATGCTCATTTTAACCTATATTGATATCAGCTTATATTTGAATCAATGAGAAAATGTTGATAAAAGTATTCCTGTTGAAAGCTGAACATCCCTCATTTCAGGGTAAAATTTATAAAATGATTTGAAAATGAAGCTCTATTTTACTATATATATATGAGGCTAACAGGATATAAATATTTGTCAAATATATTAGTGAGCAGTTAAGAATTTGAATACCAAACTATAATAGGTAACCCAGTGTAACCTTGGGCCAAATACCTTCACTTTTGGGAAAGGTTTTCCAACTTAATGAAGTTTTCAAAACTTAATGGAACTTTGGTAACTCAAATGGAGATTTCAAGAAAGAAAGAAAAGACAACAGATGTGTAAATAAGCACTCGATCTTAAGAACACTAGAAATGTTTTAAATTGGAAAAGAATGGCATTTATATACCAGAAATCCGATGATTTATTCTGCCATTTTTTAAAAGACTAAATTCTTACTTAACTTTGAAATTTCAGCTGGAGACATGATACTAACTTTAGAACTATTCCTCTACCAGAAGTAAAAATAAAAGATATGCACTCTAAAAATGTTACCATTAATGGGCTGCTACATAAATTCTAGAAAGGTTAGAGATATTGGGACCAACAGATGGCATAATGGTTACATCACAGGACTCCCACATAGTCAACTGCAGTTCGAGTCTTGGGCCCAGCAGCTTAAAACTCACATACATGCATACATGTGCATGCATGCCCAAAATCCTGAGAGGAGAATGGAGGAGAGAGGATTGTGGCATGGCCATTCCCCTGGGGGGCTGATTTCTCGCTTTCTGTCTCTCTGTCTCTCTGGCAAGTGCACATGCGCTATAGCAAAAAAATCTCTCTAACAAAAAATAAAAAGAAAGAAATATTTATACCCAAAGACCAGGTAGAGTGATTTCCCCTGTAATAAGCACATAAGCTTGAAATATAATTTTTCCTAAAAACACAAGATAATAGAAAATTAATATCTCTAAAATACATGGGAAACATCATTAAAAATAATGAGAGAAGAATAAGCTCTCCATTTCTGTATAGCATTTGGACACAATCCTTCCAGTCTATTTTTAGTTACAGGAGTCCCAAACTACCAAATGCTTTCTTTTCCTGGATTTTACTTCTAACTCTCTCACTACATTAGAATTTCTGGAGTTTGCCTTTCTTGCCCTCTCTTTCCACCCTTGTTTGGCTGCAGCACTTTTTCCTTTGCATCCAACATGGAGAAATACAACCCAGCTGTTTCAGTTGACATAGTTAATTCTTTTATCACATACTGCAGTTGCCTATATCCCATTTTTAAACAATAGAAGGGAAATGGGCCTCATACAGAAATAATCTGTTTACTTTGACTGAAACCAAGGTAATAGGCAGGCCCCTCCAGCAAATCAAGCATGAACCAGCATCTAGGACTCACAACTTCCACTTCCCTTGCCTCTACAGTCACGGTGTGAAGGCAGCTCCACCATCCCCAAGGAATTGTTCAAATCTCCTGTCTGCCTTTCTATATATGGCCTTTCATAGATATTAAGATAATTTGTAAACGAATTTCAAGATGCTCGAAATATCATTGAGGAATGACCATAGGGACATGATTATATGATGCTACACTAATCGACAAACTCCCTTTCTTCTCCCACTGTTCATTTTCTCCATAAGATATGTGAAAATGGCAACCTGAGTTTAAACCTATGCAGGATACTGGGTACAAAGTAGATATCCAGTAAATAGTTGTTCAACTTCATCCAAATTCTTTAGATCCACACTGGATCCATTACACAGGTCATTGATAGGTGACTACAAAGGTCTGTGGAGTTTAAAAGAGAATATAATAAATATTTAAATTCTCTCTTTAAACCAAAATGCCATGTGTATGTTAAAAAAAAATTCATCATTTCTGTGCTTTCTGTAAAGTTCTAACTCTATAAACTTGTTCTTGAGGAAAAAAGGCTGCCTCATTTCATATCATTTTTTTATTTTGGAACTCGTCATTTGGCCAAAATTTAAAGAGGTATAGCCCTAAAATAATTCATATTTTAAATAGTTAAAAATGCAAAGGGTTGAGATCAGCAGATGGTGTAATGGTTACATCACTGGATTCCATGTAGTCAACCGTGGTTCGAGTCCCGGACCTGGTAGCTTAAAATTCATGCTGGGCACGTGTGTGCATGCTCAAAATCCCAAGAACAGAATAGAGGAGAAGGGATTGCATCATGGCCATCACCCCTGGAGGTTGACTTCTCACTTTTTCTCTTTCTATCTCTCTCTGTCTCTCTGGCAAGTGCACCTCTATTTTAAAAAAAAAAATGCAAAGGGTGAATCTTGATGTACTCTTCCAGAGTTTGTAATCTGAATACATTTCTAGATCTCTGGATTTAAAGCAGCAGTTAGCATTTGGCTATGGCCAAGGGGAAGAGGGAAATGAAGAGAAAGAGAAGCATCTTTCATTATTATTGGTTTGTTGTACACTTTATACATGCTTTTAAAATACAAGTGAAATTTAATCTCCAAAATGAAAAAATAGACACATTTTCTAATACCAAAATATAAGATTAAAATACTTAAAATGCTAGTGTGAAACAGGACTTTTTCATACAATAAAAAAAGAAGACCATTTAGACTTGTTTTTCTTGTATAAATCTTCCTATCTCATGAATATTTACACCTTTCCAGAGTAGCTTCTATGAGATACTGAGAAATTCAGGGAGGAACTCATTTTTCAAGATATTAAATCATAACCTGAATATACAATAGATTTGGACAGAGCAGGCCTCAACCACAAATCAGTATACCAGCTCTAGACAGAGTAATGCTATATCGAGGTGTGTGTTTTTTTTCCATTACATTTTCCTCTTACTGAGTGTTAATTCCTATAATTATTTTCTTTTAATATTCCAAGAATATTCTACATGTAAAAATTATTTTATTGTAGCTACAAAACATTTCATTTAAGCAAACCATATTATATAGCCTTATGTGAAATGCCCCCAAACGCCATCAAGATTTGGAGACTTTAGACTTTAAAAACATAAACCTAATCAGTCATACATCCTTGAAACACTATGAGTATTTAACAGAGTGACAGTATATCCTTACATTTGTCATGAGATGAAAGGCTAGGAGGCAGATGATGATTAATAGTTCCTGAGCTTCTAAAGAAATTTTTAAATGAAATGAGTAACTGCTTAAAAGAATGAATTCTTCAAGAACACCTCTTCTGTTCCATTGATGTCTTTCATCCTATCTATCTCCTTAAAGAACCTCAGCAGAACAAAAACAAAAGTTCCCTTTAAGCCACGGAAAAATGGGATCTGATGGAATCTTCTCGTAACTCCCGATGTTTTCCAACATTACTTTCTTCTTGATGGTTTCGCCTTTCAATGGTTATTCTGTATTTCTTCCTGGTAAAGGGAAAGGGAACGTAATAATAAAAACCTCACTTTAAAACAAAATACTCTAGTTTATCTTAGAAAAAAGTGCCCTCAAGGGACATCTGGGTTTGAGCTGATAAATGAGAAGTGACAGAAAAAGAAACCCTGGTCAGAGATTAAAGTAGTGTGCCCCAAGGCATTATGCTCTTATTCAAGGAAGAAAAATGGCATACTTTGCAAAATGCCATAGAACAAGTCTTCTCCTTCTTCCCCGGGTGCTTTGTGGGTTAAGTCTTGTCTATTCTGCCACAGAAGTAACCCTGACCCCCAAGATATGCCCTAGATAAGAATCAGATTAAGCATCCTGTGACCAAAGGAACAGGAAGACAATTGTTCCCACAAAGGGTCACATACACCCAGAGTTACATTTCTATGCAGAAATGAAGAAATCTTTCCCAACGACTTAAATATAACCACAAACTTAACCATCAAAAATGACAAAGGAATGGGCTGCCCTCACAGCGTGGAACAATCATTACCTTGGACACAAATGCAATACAGTATTATAATTTTACAAGCCTTTAGGCTTCACTACAGTGATAACCAAGTATGCAGGTCTCCAAATAGCTAGCAGAGATCTGCCTCAGACCATGTGCTACTGGGAGCTCCCTTCTCCTCTTTAAGAAGGTGAACCTGGCAACTATTTCCAAATTGGAGAAAGTATAGGAAAGGAGAAGTTGATTTCCCCCTTTGGCCAGGTTTCCTCTCTACTTATACATTTGGGGTGATAGAAATTCTGGTCAGTATATGTGATCAAAATACAGCAGTGACTGGGCCCAATGAAACAATCAGTAGCAATCGCACTGCACTGAACTGCAGTGCTGGAAGCCATATAACCTACCGGGATTTGGACACTGCATTTGACACACTTGAGCATGCAGTCCCATGCCCAAGATACTGAAAAGCTGGAGAGTGGGGGAGAGGGGAATTGGATTGCAGGAATGATGAGACTTTATCAAAGGCACTTCTCTCTCTCTCTCTCTCATGCATGCACATACGCATAATCATGAATAAAATAAAGAAAGTAAAATAGCAGCTGCTCTCTGACCCACAAGTGGATTCAACAGGAACTCATGACCCTAAAACTCAGTATGTTAACCCACTCACTAGCCACAAAACCCAGGGTCACATCAAAAGAATGAGCTAGGTCTTTTAATGCCACACTTCTTAGGTCAAACAAAGAATGGGAACCAGCAGTTAGCGTAATGGCTATGTCGCTGGACTCTCATGTAGTTGACCGTGGTTCAAGTCCCAGACCCGGTGGCTTAAACTCAAGCCGGATGCATGTGCATGCGTGCCCAAGATCCCAAGAGGAGAATGGAGGAGAAGAGATTTCAGAGTGGCCATCCCCCCGGGGGCTGATTTCTTGTTTTCTGTCTCTCTGTCTCTGTCTTTCTGGCGAGCACACATGCCATATAGCAAAAACCTCTCCAAAAAAAAAAGAAAGAAAGATATGGCCAAGTCACAAGGAGGATCACATGGTGACAATGATGAAGACAGTGAAGGAGAGTGAACTTTAACTTTATAAATGGTCCTCACCTGAAAAAGTAGAAGGCCATTAGCAAACCAGCTCCTAAAAAGGCCCCCACAACAATTCCTGTCACTGCCGATTCTTCTAGGCCACCTGCTTGAAAGAAAAAACAAAAGCAAAACATAGAACATAGTTCATTTTGAGCAATAGTTAGAAATGCTGCAATTGTTCCCACAAAGTGAACACTACAAACTTCATTCATGTTTCAATGTCCTAGTGTCTTTTAAAAGGAGATTTTCTGAAGGGGCTGCACTATTTTTTCCCCCAGTACAAAGCTTAAGAAGAATTTGAGAAAGCACTAGGTAAACGAACATACCACTACAAGAGAGTGCGCACAATGGAAATAGAAGCAGATTCAGGAATTCAAGGGAAACTGGAAACGAAAGACTTCAGATAGACCCACATTGAAGTTGACGGACAAAGAAGACAACTGCCTGGGCCCCGGCACTGACCCAGCTCCCCTTATTCTCACAGATGCTGGTAACACTTCCAAGTGCTAGAAAATTTGGTGAAACACTCCTGGGGTCAGTGTTCTGTTTTTAGATGTTCTCTCACCAAAGCCAGAGTTTCATGTCAAAATGTCCTACATATCAATGGCTTTGTGAAAATGTGACTAACAATTGAAACAATCAAGTTCAGTAAGGTCCAAGTTACAAAAATGCTAACTAGCTGGTTTGTATACAGAGTATGAACTTGGCCTTCAATGCATGATCTCATCAAATCCTCAAAATGAGGAATCTGAGGCTTAAAGAGGTAAAGGAACTCCCCTCGTTTCTCAAAACCAGCAAGTAATAAGGGTAGAATTTCAAATAGCAGGCCCAATAACTCGAGACTGTATTCTTGACACAGCCTGTATTCAGCCTTCTGAATTACTTCCACAACTGTATGATAGACATTAATATCTCACTGTTTTAAAAGACAGTCACAAAACATCATGACCAAATGGCCGGAATGATTGCTAAGCACTTTGACTTCGCTCACTAGCTTATAAAAGGGTACCTGGAAAGCAACAGTTTCTAATAATTTGCCTATTTGTAAGATATTTATAAGAGCATCTACTTGCATCTCTGTGCACAAAACTGGGCACCAATAAAAAAAAATCTCACACTTACTGGCCAATTTGTAAATTTCCAGGTGTTCGAGGAATGTTACCTATTTGCTACAAGAGATAAATAAATGACATTTTGCAATTATTTTGATTTTCCCTCAAAAGTGAAAACCTCAAACACTTGCAGCAAAGTGCAGAAAAGTAGGGAGAAGCCTTCTTCTACCATATTGGAAGAGAAGAAAAACAGGGAAGAGGACTTGGAACCTATGATAATGGCAGGATGCCAGTTTGTGAATTGTTCTCACCTGTTTCATCAACATCAGAAAAAGAAATGTGAATTTTCAGAACATGAGCATGTAGAGAACACCTGGGTGTTAAACTTGCATTATAATGAGACTAGAGATGAAGAAATACTTAGCAAATTAAGTCTCTAAACTTACACGATTTGCAGGGAGAGGAATTTGTATGCTCCACAATTCTGGTCTCATCTATCCTCAGTTTTAAAGGGCCCCAAGGATATTTGATATTTGGCCTCATTTCAAAACGACCTTCTTTTCCAAAGTAGTCACCAATAACCTATATAAAGGAAAAAATATATATACACACACACACACATATATATATATACACACACACAAACCAAAAGCCTAAAGGCATCAGTTTCAAAGGAGCCACAAAGCTCAGAGCCTCACAGGGCTGTTCTCAGAAATGCACAGCCTGATCTGCAGGGCTGCCTCTGAGGGCTGCTGACGGTGGGCACTTGCTGGAATTGCCCTGGCTGGGCAGTAACAGCAGGTACTCCAGCGCACCAGGTCAGGGTGAGCACGCTTTCGTCACAATGGCTGGAATGGCATGGGCCTGTGGGCTTGGTAAGTCAGGAATTGAAGATGCTAATGAAGCTTTCAAGTCAGTATAAGTTACTGGAGAAAACCAAAGCACCCAGTGTGTGTGTATGTGTGTGTTTATGTGTGTGTGTTTGTGTGTGTGTGTTGTGTGTGTGTGTTTGTGTGTGTGTGTGTGATCAGAAGCAGGTGGTAAACATGGTGCCACCTGGGGCCAGCCCTAACCAAAGGCCACATCCTACCAACATTGGCCCTGAGGACTCTTCAGTCGCTACTACCTAATGGAAAGGGGGGTATATTTTTTCCCCTAGAAACACAACGATCTCAAAGTTCATGGCTTTTCTTCTATTCATTGAATAGAATACTGCCTTCCCATCTGCCCCAGGGCAGCCCACAGAGTCAGCCATTTGTAAGGTCCAAGTTATGTTCAGGGATGCCAAGGGGAAGCCAGAATCTATTGTACACCAGCCATATGCCCGTCCACCCCTCTATTAGCTCAGCATATAGTTGAAGCATTTAGAAACTTTCTTTCAGGAACTTCTTATTCCACTCTCTTCTTTTGGCAGACTACTCTTTCCTCACTAATGAATTCACCCTACTTGCACCCTAAATTTCCAGGCTCAACTCTCTCTTCCAGGACTCCTCAGGTCCCCAGAAAATTACTACTATTTTATAATTCAGTTCCAGAGTGGCCCCTCAGTTTCTGGCTAAACAACTGTTCCATCAGCTATCTGACCCCTGATGGAGAAGGGCCTCCCACCCAGGTACTCAGCATTCACTTCTCTTTTGTCCGGGTAGCAGCACAGGTTTCTCCAGTGGCCCGTGACTCTCCTTCCCTCTCTTGCCTGACAGTCCAGCAGGTTCTCCCAAGCTCCATCAGGTCACACTAAAAGAATTCTAGATCCTCAACAAAATAGAACAATTTCAAGTGTATCCTAGGCACTTAGCAAGTGCCGTTCACACCTTCAGTGTTGCAACCTCATTATTACTCCCTGCCTTTGCAGAGAAGGAGGCTGGAATACAAGTGAGACCCAGATCACTGAAAGGGGAAAAGTCAGTCAGTGAGCTCAGGGAAGGTGACTCTTGTTGCCCCAGGCCCACTCTAAAGCCAGGCATATGTGGACAAAGAGGGAAACAGCAAGGTCATATGCCCGGGGCCCAAAAAGGCCACACCAGTAATGACCTGCGAGAAAGCAATTACAGAGACTCAGGGGAAGGAGAAGGTGGCATTATTTGCTGAAACATTGCCTATTTCTAGAAATCTTATAGATTCTGTCATTTAAAGTTTAGATAGTATTTTTCTAAGTTTCATTTTCTCTGGTCCTCACCGTAACCATATGAGATCAGCAAAGAAGACATGATTTGCATGTAATAGCTAAGGAAACTGATCAGAAAGCTCACACCAGTGGGCAGCAGAGACTCATCTTTGTGTCCAGGGCCCTCTCTTCTCTTCATGATGTTATCCTGAAACTCCATCATCTTTTGGAAAACTAATGCATGCCAAATTTATAACCACCTCTATCAAAAACAGCAATAAAAAAAAAAAAAAGCACTGGGCCACATCACTGTGTAATGGTTAAGTTTTGTGCATAGGGAGCTGGACCCACGTGGCCAACTGCAGTTCAAATCCTGACCCCAGCAGCTTAAAAATCACACTAAATAAGTGTGTGTATGTGTGTCTGTGTGTGTGTGTGTCTGTGTGCCCAAAATCCTGACAAGATGGAGTAATGGGGGCTATAGGATTGTGGCATGACCATGCCCTATTGAAACATGATCTCTCTCTCTATCTCTATCTCTATCCCTCTCCTCTCCCTCGTGAGCATTCTATTGCTCTCTAGAAATTAAAACAACAACAACAACAAAAACTTATTAGGGTGTCAGGAAAGTCATGACATATTTTTCTGTTTCCTGTGCAAGAATGCACCATGTCTTTTCCGACAACCCAATAAATCACAAATTTTAAGAGAGGAAATACAGTTTCACTTTATATCCTTCACCCCATATGACCTGCTTGTGTAGGACTAACGGGTGATTCTTAACCACTTGAAAGGTAGTATTACAGTAAGCAAGGAACCATTTTCTGACATCTTTCCTGATACTCTCAAGCATCAGTAAGTTCTCCCTGCTTGGAACTCCCAGTTTTGCAACTCATTTTAACATGGGGCTGCTCTGGGAATAGCTCTTTGGACACTAGGATGAAGACGCTCCTCGGAGACCCAAAAAACAGGAAGTGGTGCAGAAGTCTCATTTGCTCACCTCCTGGGTGCCTGCTTCCGTGTCGGTCATGGCAATCACAGAGAAATCCCCATAACGGTCTCCGTTGGCATCTATGGACACCTGCCCAGCAATACCTACAGGACAAGAGGTGAAGAACTCGAATTTAGTCATTCAAAATACCTGTTTGCCAACAAAAACAAGAAAATGAACTGACAGGATTTTTTAAACAAACTCGTGCCACAGGGAATCTCATCAGACTCTGAGCATTTTTGTTGGCATTGGGAAAGACATTGTAATTTCATCTGTGTCTGCATTCCTAAATTCTTAACATTTCTCCATTTAAAAATGAAAAGAAAAATAAATAAATGATCTTCTTTAGGGAATATGTTTTTTAAAAGATTAAGGCTAATCCTGCAAGCAGTATGCTTATCTCGGAGTCTTGTATCCATTAAAAAATAATAATAATAAATAGAGTGAGAAACAGAGATGCAGTATGTGGGTTCAGGTATCCTGGAACCAACATTATAGAAGAAAAATCATTCCAGACTCAGGACTTTACTACAGGTTGCTCTAAGATGAGGGGACTTCAGAAAGTACATGGAATTAAAGTATACATTTATTTTGTTGCAAAAAAATTGAAACCTGTACATCTTTTTTTTTTAATCATAGTATTTATATCCCATGAATATTTTGAAGACCTCTCAGACATAGGAGAGCAGCAGGCCTACTCTGTGGGTCACAAGAGCCAATGGCTAAAGAAGAGCTACCTGACCACACCAGACCACACCACACCACTCACAGGAAAAACATCAAGTTGGAAAATCAGGAAGGACTCCATAAATGAGCAGAGATTTTATACAGACGTTGGAAGAAGTCTGTGATTTGGACAAGCAGCCATCAAGAAGTGGAAGTATTCTAGGCAGAAAGGCTAGCCTAGTTGTATCAAGACAGAGGCCAAAGGCGCCTCAGGAACCACAAGGTTTCTGGAGCGATGGCCCGTGTAAGGACAGTGAGGCTTGAACAGGGTGGCTAGAACATGGAGGGCCTTGAGTACCTATTGCTTTGGCCAGCAATTAGCTTAAGGAACTAATCAATAAAAGCAAATATATATCATTAGCTAGCATTCAATGTGTCTATATCATAATTTTCATTCACTAAATAAGATACATCGGCTGCATTTTAACTGACTAAAGCTGTTTGTAGTCTTTCCTTTTAAACGGTGGGAGAGTTCAATATAATTCTTAATTGGTATTTCTACTGATTTGGTTCTCACCGGAAGTACTGACTTCTTTAGTAAAATTAATGCCTGGGGAAAAGCATCCCAAGGGAAAGTTCCATCCTCTAGTGTGGTTTGGAGAGGATGGGTATTTGGGTTTACTGTCCTTTGGGTTGTGGTTTGAAGGTCCACTGATTTTTCCAGACATTGGTCAACTTTGCCAGAAACAGAATGGAGTCACCATTGATTTTTATTTTTATTTTTTTGTCTTCTTAATATAGACTGGTTACAAAAGATACACCTATCTCAAACTTGAGGATCTTTGACGGTTTATTAAAAAACTGTATTTTTCTCTAAACATATTGATTGTCCAAAACCATTTGTCATTCTGTTCAAAAATGTTTGTGATGGTGAGTTCTGCTAAGTGTTTTACAGAGTATTTTTTAAGACGAGGTAGCCCTAGTAATCCAAGACCTCATTACACCTTTAAGCTTTACAATTCTGCCAAGAAATGGGGTGAGAACCCTCAGGGTGGCCGATTAGGAAAGTGAGACTGCACCTGAGAGTATTGTATATGAGGTGAGACTGTCAGGCCAACAACATAATTTTCCTATACATAAGTAATGAGAATTTCCACCCTCATTTTTATTTTCCTATGGCAGAGCTCAAGGTTTGGGCTACAGTCCTATTTACCTTGTCACTCTGACCTCTCACACAGAGGAAATTCATCTTCTTCTCCGGCCATTTATTGAAAGTCTTGAGAGTTGATCACAGGTTTCATGGCCATAAAATCCAAATTTGTCAAATGACATCCAGAGTATTTTTCCTTTGACAACTTAATGTTCACTTACAGTGCCCATTAAACTTAAAATTGTTTTTAATTTTAGGAAGGTTAGGGTTTTCTTTATACAGATACCCTAGAGTTCTTTTGGGGCCTACCCTCAAATGGAGGGTATTTATTTCACAAATAAAACAGGCTCTCCAAACAAGTTGAACCCAAAATTTACCTTGTCTTCAATTATCTTTATACTTGGACCAATGAGATTCTAATTTTAGAGTTAACCCTACAGTTGATTGTTTCAGGACTCATTTCATATTGCCCTTGGAGACCTAGCCCTAGACTAGAAACATTAAGGTGGCTGATGGGAAAATTTAGCCCACATTCTGGCTCTAAACAAAACTATATTCCAGGTATTGTGGGCACCTTCCCTTCTCTGAGCAAGTTCCCTCAGTGGTGCCCTTCAGCATCCCCAACTCTGGCTCCTGTTCCCCTGTCAGAAGACCAAGAACAAATGACCATGTAGTGAGTAATAGCTAAGAATGGGATGTGGCCTACCAAGTTGTGTCTACACACACTGGTTTCTCAGTGTATTGTGCACAACTTCTGGGAAATTTGACTCTGTCCTAATATGCCCCCTGAATTATCCTAGTGGAGTCCAACTCCTGAGCTGAAGTAACCAGCAGTAAAAGAAGATAATCCTGGAGGCTTCCTTGCTTATGTCTCACAATCTGTCGAAAGTTAAAGATCTGACTCTAGTTGTGAGGAAGACATGGTAGTCACTAAAATCACCAATGAGAAATGGAATCAACCAATTGCCACCATAACTACTGCCCAGAGCACTCCAGCTGAGTTTCAGTCCTCACCCACTGCCTTACACTTCCTAATAACTGAAGAAAAGGTGAGATAGTGGATAGGATAAGAGTCCCCACTAAAAAAATTTACTTGCCGCAAATCTAGACTTGATAGTACTTATCCCCATCCATGAAAAATATCACTAATTAGATTATAAAGAAATACGGTCATATTTCCCAATCCTTGAAAGGACCCAAATGAACAGTGAGGACAATACAGAACTGAAAGAGCCCATGTCAGTCATCGGCTAGTCCTATCACTTCTCATACAGGTGAAGAAAGAGAAGTTCAGAGGACTGGAGTTCCTAGTTAATAGTTAGGATACAGGTTCCATGACCCTGGTCTACCTACCTATGCTTTATGCTAGCAACTCTCAAATGAGACCCATCCACATACTGCCGGTAATTTCCTACATGGCAGCCTTGTGGATGCCTTTTAAAGACACAAGGCAGATCATGTTACTCAAAACACTTGAGTGTCTTTTTGTCTTACTCAAGTGGGTCCAAAATTCTCACCCAGGCTTCCAGATCCACATGACCTGGCCACCTCTCCATTGCCAGCTTTGGCTCCTGTCACACACCCACACAGACTTGCACCAGCCACACAGACCTCCTTGGTCCTGCAGGGACTCTGAACTCCTACCAGAGCACTCTGCTATGCTCTTTCCTCCATGTTTGTATAACTTCTCTCACTTCCCTCAGGTCTCTACTCAACCACCACTCTCAGATGGACCCTCCATGACCTCCCTGAGTAGCAACTCCACTCCTCTTCTTCCACCACTTCCTATCGCTCTACCTGTCTACTTTATAGCCCCTGAAATGGCATTTTTAATTTCTGTGTTGCCTACTCTTCTCACTAGCATATTTCCTTTAAGTGTTAATGATGTGTGAGGAAACCAGAACTCTTACATACAAGGTTGGATCCTGAAGTTCTATGGCTAGAAATGGCCATCCAGGTTTACCCGGAACTGGCTTCCCAGTTTGGGAATTTGGAAAGCAGACAAAATATTACAGAAGTCAAGAAACCTGTGCCTATTGACTAGGTTAAGTATTTCAGCCTTTGCCAATAATTCCCTGTGCACAGGTATTCTCCTTCTTCCCTGCATCTGCTCTCTTTAAACAAAAGTTGAAAGTACTCATAAACTCATCAAAGTATGCAAGAGGCTTGTGACAACATATTGCATTAGAGCAAAAATTGTAACTAATTGACGTGTCCACTACCAGGAGATTGGTCAAAGAAATGCTTAGACAGCCATATGATGGATATATATAACCGTCATTTTAAAGTGAATTGGAACAATGGATGCTTCTACAGAAAATCCTTTTCTGTGACACATAAGTAAAACAACCTAAAGTGAAAAATGGTATGCAAAGTATGATATCTTCTGTGTAAAAATTTTAGGTATGATATACAAAACATATGTTCTGGAAGAAGACATAAAATGTTTTTTGACAGAATCGCAAGAAATTGTTAATAGTAATTACATTGCAGAGAGGGGACAAGGGTGGGAGGGAAAGCTTTCCCTTTTCATTTTGTACATTTTTGTACTGCTTCAATTTTCTAGCCAAGAATAGTCTCATTCTTATACCATTTTTAAATGGCAACAAAAATTGCTCGAGTGATAAGATTATGGGCTATATTTTTGTCATTGTTACATTTCTCTGTTCTTAGAAAGAACTAAAATCCACCATTTTAAAGGTGAAATAAAAGCAAGAGGCTCAGTCGGACCTGTTAATCATCTTGAACAACCAGATTTAACTATGACAGTTCATATTTTCTGAGTTTCACAAAAATCAACATAGTGTAAATAAAGAAATGGATTATGTTGTTGGAAAGTCATGATATATTTTTCTATGTTTTTCTGTGCAAAAATGAATCATAACTTTCCCAATGACCCAATAGATCTGGGATTAATACTTGTTTTAAAGCTGATCACAGATGTCTTCACAAACTGTTATGATTGAAACTCATGTTAACATAATTTGAGAAGCACAGAGTTGTTACCTAATATCAGAAGGAAAGGAGGCATTTCCATTTCAGTAGGACCTTTTCAAATACCTTCACATGCACTATCTCATTGAATGTTTCACAAAAAGCCTGTGAGATACATTGGTCTTGATTCATTATCTTTTACAGCTGAGAAAAGCAAGACACTGGAAATGTCCCACAGTCACAACAAAGAAAGCACTGTGCCACAGTGTGGTCACTTTAGAGATTGAATACCTACCTTCAAACGTCCTGTTCCAAGTCTGCTGGATAATTTTGCCTCCATCTTTCTTGCTGTAACCAGCTCTGAGTACTTCATGCAAAGCCAAGACGTAGAGGAGGATGGCATCGTGGAATCCTTCTACAAACATGTTAACCTGTAAACGAAGACCCAAGAGAGTGAGCCCAAATGACAAGTCACCCACATTCACAAATAATGAGTGCCATCACAGTTAACAAGTTAGATTCAAGGTCTGTGAGCAGTGGCAGAGGTTGAAAAAGACAAGAATCATGCCATGGATTGCCTAGCACTGGCATAGTACAGAAAACACTTCCCCAGACTGGGAATTTTGGAGCAGACAGGATACTACAGAAGTCAAGAAACCTGTACCTGGACCAGCTTTTACCAGTAGATCCCTCTATACAGGTGCCTTTCTTCTTCCCCACATCTACTCTCCACCTCAAGCCAATGTGAGTCTATCTCCCCCTTGAGGTCTTCTCTACCTTCAATAGCCCCCATCATCTTTCCATGCTCTGAATGTGGAGCATGGAAAAAAAAAAAAGTGGGATCCATTCATTCATATTCATTTATCATTGAATGCCTACTGGCATGCTGATGCTAAAGTTAAAAGAAGAGTAGACACTGAAGTTTCTGCATGCCTGCCCATTAGCAATAGTATCTTGATTTCTCTTTCCAATTTGTGTTTTGAGTTGTTTGAGCACATCTCACCACTCCCTCTCTTCACCCTATGCCAAGTTCCAAGGACAGGAATAGAAAACCGGCTTTGACTGTGGGTATATATCTCAGTTAAGGTCTGGATGAAGTAAGAAAGCCCTTGCCCTCAAGAAATTTACAGTTTCAGAAACATGAATACTGGCCATGTGAATGTGGGGAGTTGCTTATCTCCTTGAGATTTGTTTATTTCATCTGTACATTGACAATGAGACTACTACCCACCTAGACATAGCTGTAAGAATTACTTGACATAAGTAATATAAAGTGCTGAATCTTGTAATAATGCCCAGCACATATCAAGGAATCAACAAGTGCCAATGCTATTATTTTGACTATTTAATAGAACATGTGTTATCCCTGTGCTATTTGAGGCCTATACCAGATATAGTAAGCCTACAACTGGGCTTCAGAAAGTTCATGGAAGTACATACTATTGAAAATAAACATCATGCAATAGATTTCAATTTTTTTGCACCAAAATAAACTCATACTCTAATTCAATTTTTCCATAAACTTTTTAGTATTTTCTCATACAAGAAAAGTCAATACTATGAGTTGGGGAGGCGTGATCAAGAGAGACTGAACAGCCATGATGAAAGTCAGTTTTTTCAATGAGGAGAGGTTTCAGAGGGTGGAAGGCTTAAGGAAATATTGCAGGTGGAGTAGTGAGGAGAGAGGTACAAAGTCATGGCATATCCTAAGGGCCTGGTGCATTTTAGAAACTACAAATGTTTTGTTAGACTAGGGGCAAGAAAGGGTAGGAAAGGGCAAGGAGAAATGTAGGAAACCAAGAGACAGGGATGGATAAGTAAGGAGAGTCAGTTCTTCAACAATCTAGAGGGATCTGACGTGTCTTTGGGAGGCATATAATCACTGTAGTACATTTTAGTTCGCCCCTTAGCTAGATTACAAATACCCTTTGGTAAATTCTAATACCGCATTTAAGCCCATTGTAAAATTCATTGGACATGAAATGAGCAAATACAATCTTGACTGGGTAACTTACAAACTATATAAAAAGTACAAGAAAAACACAAACAAAAACAAAAGGGAAAAAAAAAAAAAAAGCCCTTTTATCCTAGGAGAAAGTGTAGAGGATAAAACACCAATGCAGTTCTCTCATTTCCACACCATGCCCTTAATTCCACTCAAGTATAAGGGGGTCAGTTCCACTGACTCTCTGGGAGAGTGAGTACTTATTCACAGGAAAGGCTTGAGTTGGCTGGATGGCCCCACAGTCCAGTCCTAGCCCTGACACATTATTTAATCTCTCCAATCCTCAATTTCCGCACCTGTGAAGTGGGTTTAGTACTCACTCACCTCAAAGAGCTCTCTTGGAGATCAAATTATCTAGTGCATGTAAAACAACTAAAACTATTTCTGGGGCCATGAAAGTACTGGTAGATGTTGACTCTTTTGGCTATCCAGCTTAACTCCCAGAGTCTCCAAGTTATTTTTTTAGGCAAAGAAGAATGATGCAGAAATAACATCTACTAATCAAAGATAATTTTCTGCGGCTTTGACTGTGCTAATCTGATTTCCCGCAGCATGAAATTTTCACTCAGGCCATGAAGTCATGATAGCTTGAAAAAGTATGCATGCTGATGAATTTAATAAGTTAAATTCATAAGTTAAATTCATGAAATTACTCAGACTTTACTCAGCTAAAGTCTGAGTAATTTCATTCTTAAGCCGCAATAGGAATTTTTTTCAAAAGATCCATCTTCTCTTTGTTATTTGTACAGAAACCACCTGACTAGAGAGGAAAGCCAATGAATCACAGAATCATGGGGTGTAGGAGATTTCAGGTGGCTTAGAAAAACTCTGGTCTGGTCCCTGCCTGGCTTTGAGGACCAAAAGCATCGCTCTCTTGCATTCTTGAATATTGTATCCTGTAAGTAACTTGTTCCCGGAGCACCTAGGATGACTCCAAGTAAAGGATATCAAATGTCCATCTCTCTTCATGTTCCTCCTGTCCCGTTCTGGAAATCCTAACCCAGGAGTGCCGTGCTGTCACTGGCCACTTGAAGAACTGCCTATGTGCCCCAGAGCCACCTCCTGTCTGCCTCTTACTCTTCCCACCTTCTTGATATGCCCTCTGAGCTGCCCCTCTACAATCCAGAATGTCAATACCATTATCTGACTGAGGATAAACCAGAATGCTTTCAGTCCTGACCAGTTTGATGATAGAAGAGAATAGACAGGCTCTGAGCATGTGCCCAGGTCTGAAACTCATTCTACTTTGATTTGCAGATAGATCACAAAGTTTACCTTCCTTCCCCTTAAAGTGGCTGGGGGTTTCCCTCTCATGCCAAAATTAGCAACAGAGCTGCTGACCCCACCAAGGTTTGCTGCCACCCCAGCCTGCTACGGGGGAGGCTTTATAACACCTACCTCATAGGACCTCAAGCCAGAAGCAAAACCCTAGAGACCGTCTTTTCTCAAGGAGAACATTCTCACATCCCTATGTGTTTTTTAATGGGAGGAAAGCCCGTTAGCACATTATAGACTCTGAAAATTAGAAGTGCAAATTAAGAGAGAAAAAGTGAGAAAAACAAACACACACACAGTATTAAGTTGTTTCGGGAACACTGTCTACCGGACCTCCAGACTGATAGGAACAAGGTCATCTGGTCTGACTCCTGCCTCTGAACAGAACAACACTGGACACTCCAAGCCCTAACACAGATCATGCTGTCATTCCCGATTACAGAGGTTGGGGTTCCCCCATTCTAGGATTTAGCATCCTTTCTAGACGAAAGCTATTCCTCAGTGTCATTAACCCTAAGTCTTAAGTTCTAATTCAGTCATACCCCTGCTAGATGCTGAACAAACTGGGCTCAGAGAACAATACAGTGTACAATCTCCTTCAAACAGTACATCACTTCAGAGGAAGCACACACTGAAGCTTTGAAGTGGACACCATGAGCCAGCACCAAACACCAAGCTCCAGGGAAGTTTTTTGTGCTGTGTATCAATGAAGTGTCTGGCATCCAAATGAGATTAACATCATTCGGCATATTCCACTCGCTCTGGAAGTGCATCAGAACAGGGAAGGCATTTATCTCAACACTTCACCTCTTCTCTTAATTCTGTCTTCTACAGTCAGCCAGCAGTAGGCACACCAGATAAAAGAACGCCATTTCTACCAACAGCCTTCCTCTCTCATAGAAGCTGTCAATCACATTTACACATCTATTTATCAGTGGTGTATGTATATGTATATATAAGTATGTGTGTATATGTATATATAATCCTCTCACATGGAGAAAATGGAATAGAAATATTGTTATCTTTTTTTAAAATTTGCCAGATGGTATATGTGCATGTGAGAAAGAGAAAGAGCACCCTCCATGGGGAATAGTCACACTGCAATCCCTCCTCTATTTCTTTTTCCTTTTGAGATTTTGGGCACACCTGCTCAGAGTGTTTTTCAAGCCTCTGGGTCCAGAACTTAAACTGTGTGGGATCCAATTCCTTTAAACAGCAAGCCATGGGCTGGCTCACTTTTAACTTTTCAGTTGACATAAAGAGTTGCTGCTCACAGCAGCTATCACAGTGAGCCACTTAGTTCTCATTTCTGTCTGAGAAGGCGATCTCACATTTAGATGAACCTCAGTGCTTGTGTTCCATACAAGGAAGCAGAGAATGTTGCATGCTCTAGCTGTTCTGTAAAGTGAGCATGGCCTAGCTCTTGGGGACACCCATGTATCTGAGAAAACCTTCAAAACTCTCAGATTGAGGTCCTGGAAGAGGGCTACCAAAGCTCAAAGCGAGGCTCAGCTGTCCCAGGTTGTTGCTTGTGGCACTCACTTGAACTCAAGCATATCACAGAGTGGTTCTATCTTCCTTACCACAAACCAATGGTTCCCAGTGCAAATGAGGGACGTTGAATGTGTCCAGTAGTATTTCTCAAGAATCATTTGGAAAGGATGTGCTTTTTTAGCCTCTCATGTGTCTGAAGAGGAGATGAGGATGGGGAAATCTTGACGGAGGACAGGTAAGAGAAGAGATAGGCCCATGACCCATCACGGTTAACAATGGCAATATCACCTGACATGACTTTGAAAGTGAACTTTGTCCAATCCTGGTGGACCCCCAGAGATGGCAAACAGCAGAAGGAAGTAGCCTATGAATGCTGCATAGTTAGCCCAGAGGTTAAAGAATATTCCGCCTTTGAGGAACACTTTGCAAGTGACCTCTATACTTTAGAAACACAGTATCAGCCTTTTTGTTCAATTTTCTTTTATATCGCAAAAGTAAAAGTGGGAGCCAGCAGGTGGTGTGGTGGTTAAAGTTGCTGGACTCCCACATGGTCGAGTCCTGGACCTGGTGTCTTGCTTTCTCACTTTCTTTCTCTCTAATGAGCAAATGTGTCCTACAGCAAATTTAAATAATAATAATGATGATGATAAATAAAAT